AAACCTTCAGAAAGACTTAAAGCTTAAAACCCATCATATGCATTTAGATAAACACTGATTGTAATGCATGAGATGGACCTGACCCTCCAGCACAGCGGCTGGTGGTTCACATGCTCCCAGAACTTGCCTTTGCTAAGCTTTGTTCGTTACTGATGTGATCAGGTTTTATGCAGAAAACACCTAAAAAAAATTTTGGCTGAACTAGTAACTTGAGAGGACTATTGATTGCATCTGTAACTGTGAAGTTATAATAGGGTAACAGAAGAAAAAGAGACTGAATCTTGTGGGGATCTCGTAGGAATCAATGAGGAGTATTTGAGAAGGAAAAACGATATTATTATCAAAAATGACACATTTCAATACCCACAGAAGAGGGAAGTCCTAATTCACTGTTGGTCAGCTTGGCACTTGGAAAGAAACACTGCATTGAAAGCTGTGCTGTGGCATGATCCAAGAAGAGAAGTGTCTCTGAAAATTAGTTCTGATGTTTCTATATGATCTTCAAGTAGTTTTCAGGCAGGGGTAGGAGCTTCTGGTTGAAGACAGGTTGCTTGGGATCTTTTTGATGAGTTTTGTTTGTTTGTGGGTTTTTTGTTCGTTTGTAAAATTCTGGTTCTCACCGAGTGTGTTGATTTGAGTGCTAAATAAATGTGTTGTGGTTGTCAAGCCTTGTCATTCTTGCCTTCCCTTGCCACAGACCTCTGGAGCTTTAGAAATCTGCTTTATTCTTTCCCTCTCATGTAGGAGACTAGAAACTTGCATCAAAATATCCATCTTTGCATGTATGAAGATTTTATGAAAATAAACTATATAGACTACATTTCCTGTAGAAACACTGCTCCCTTTGCCAGTAGTGATCCCAGAGGAGGGCAGTTAATTATACTTAGTCCTGTGAACATGGACAACAGCAGTTCCAACAGTAGTATTTTTGTCACTGGAGGGGTTTTGAATAGGAAACACGGTGCTTGCAAAATATGCCTGGGTTAGGAAAATAATTTGTTTGCTATATGAAACAGTTATTTCAGTGAGAAGCACTAATTTAACCCAGTAAATTTTTCCAGCTAGTCATCTCCATTTGAGTCACCCATGTGTGAAGTCTTAGGGAAGCGCTGCTCTGTCATTGCAAAATGTTTGTCTCTGAAATATAATGAGCTTCAGGTTACCAAAGAAGTCATCCTCCTAACTGGGAGAGGATAGTAAAATGATTTAAACTCTGTTTACAGGACAGTTACTAAAGCAAATGTATTTGAGACTTTAATGTAGAATTGAAACATTCTTATTGGGAGTCCCTGTTGCTTTGGGTTTAGTGTTATTCTGTGAAAAAACCGCCAAGTATAGAAACACATGCAGTTAAATGTAGCATAATGTGAGATAGTTCAGCAAATGAAGCAGATTTACATTTTCATCAGCTCGTGTGCATGATTTGGAAATGTGTTTAAGTAGCTTTCACTGTAGTTGGTGTTCTGGGGTCACGTTAATACAGCTTTTTCGGAAGTTGGCTGATGTGGTGGTTAGATTACGAGTGACTAGAACTATAAATTTGAACCCACAGCGTTATATTGTAAGACGTAAATCAGTTTTGATTACTGTACTGATGTGTGCATTCATTTTGTGCCTAGTCCTAGAATGATCTCCAGTGTTTAAGGCTATAGAGACAGATAGGTCTGCTAAACCTGCAAGACAGTTTGGTTCTGACTGGAGGTAATAGAAAGGGTAATTCCATTGGAATAATTAGGGTAGTTTTTTTTCTCAGCCTTTATCTGGTCAAAGTATGTAAAACACTACTTAGTTGTTTTGTTTGTTGTTTTTTTTTTCTTTTCCTCGTTCAAAAATAGATGTTCCTACATCAAAAACTGCAGTAACAAATTTTTCTTTTCCGAAAGGGGGAATTATTTTCCTTAGTTGTCTGTCCCTGCAGATTGCCAGCATGTGATGCGTTGAAAGATTTCTGCATGCGCTGCCAGCAGCAGTCTGTGAGTTTGCTGCCTTATAGGTTGACATAAGTATGACATAAAGAACTGACTTTGTCTGTGGGGATGTCGAGATGTGTGATGTGTTAGTAGAACTGCAAAGCTGCTTTCTTTGTGGTTGATCCTGGATCACATCAGTGGGGCTGCAGCTGTTCTTAAGCCAGATTAAGTTTTCTCTCTCTGAATGTTTTTTTGGAGCAGACTTGATGTTATGGGAACTCTTCAATAAAGTCATTCTCTTGGGGGATAAATAACATTCTACGTCATGCTAAAAAATGGCTATTGTCTTTTTGATGCCAGTTTAGGAAATAGTTTAAAATTGTGAAGTAGTAACATCTGGTTTTATTACTTGATGCATAGGACATGCATGGGCTCACTCTCATTTCTGTATCTCATTTGTTTGATTCCCAGTCTCAGTCCCAATGCTTCTTACCTCACATAGGGTATAAATGTTATATTTAAAGGTATTAACAGGTTCTTTTCAAGAAAAAAAATCAACTTGCTCAGTTTTTGCTGGAGCATATGCTTATTTAGTTTCTTTTTTCTTCACAGCAAAACTTTGTAGTGATTAAAGTGTCTTAGTTTAAAGAAAAGTGGTATCCAGGTTGTAATCTATGGATAAAATGCATCTTATGGCTTTTTTTTCCCCCTGTGTTCTTTGTCTGGAATAAGTAGTAGATAACTCTCAGGTTTATTGTGGACAGAAGCTTTTGAGTGTGGGTGTCATGAGGCAGTGAATGGACAGGCTGTAAGCAGCTGCTGAGGATGCTCTATTGCAGGAGCCTCTTGAAGATTATCTCCCAACCAGGACCCTTCCCTTGTCTCTTGACACTCTCCATGAAAACACATTTTGTGATCTCAAGAACTGCCCCCCTGGGCTGTTTAATTGTTGTAGGATTTCAGCTCTTTCCTTTTCCTCTGTTTGTAACTGCTTTTACTCAATCAGTTTGCTGTACAGAGGATTTTTTTTGTTTTTCTGTTATGCCACGTGTCTGTGGATTTGTAGAGTTGTATTAATCCGGAGACACTGCCCATTAACAGGAGAACATAACTGAAGGCTAAGGTATTATTTTGATGATTGAATGTAGCGAGATTTTGGGAAACACAGTTTTTCATCAGTCTGATCCCTGAGCTGACTGTCTGACATCTAGTGGATCCATAATGCTCCTGAGGGTTTTTTGTTGTTTTTTTTTTTTCCCCTAATCTTGGAAATTAAGAGTGAGTGGGGCAATTTTTTTGTTTCCCTTCTCTATTAGGAATTTTTAAAGAACAGTGGTTGTAAACTTACTCTGCATTTAAGGGGGAGGGTATAATTGTGTGACAAGTAAACGGAAAGAGATACTTTTTTTTTTTTTTTTTTTTTGGGTAGCCTTGTTAATTAAGGTTTAAGTGGTGAGAAGAACAAGAAACCAGTCTGTGAGTAGCTCCAAGACACAGCCCTAGACCTGCCAACGTGGTTTTTGTGCCATGTCGTGCCCAAACCAGGCAGTGCTCTCAACTCAGCGTTTTGGGAAGCGCAGCGACGAGACACGCTCAGCAGGCTGTTCTGGGGCCACTTTGGATTGGGGTTAGTTAGTACATTTTTCTTCATGCCACATCTAGGCTGGCTTCAGTCAGTGTCTCACAGGTCTCTCTGTTCTTTCTGGGCTTGTTAGTGGTTCCAGTAAAGTGAGTGTTATCCTTTGTCTGAAGCCAGCCTGGGCCTGATGTCCTACCAGCTCCAGCTCCCTGCCACGTGGAAGCAACTGGATCGTTTCCAGCCGTAAATGGTTTCTGGAAGCTGAGTAGAGCTGTATTTATGTGATTCTGTACCTGAACTAATGAGTCCAACTGGATTATACAGATAATTTTTTTAAGGAGCCAGCACAGTGCTTGCATCAGCTTGTCATGTTTAATGAGAAATATGCTAGGAATATTTATATATAATTGGGAATGGATTGTATTTGGCTTCTCTGTGTGTTCTGGTGTCTAATGCAGTTTTAGGCCCTGACATACTCTGAAGTTACAAGTCTGATCAATCAGTAGTCACCCAAATTAGATAATTCGAAATCGTTGTTACATTATAGCTGTGGATCAGTTGTGTTTCTCCTTCTTTCCTAGCTGGATAACACAGTTTAACTGGCTCTTGCTTAGACCTCTTCTAGCTGCTCTGTCTGCTTCCTTGCCAGTGAGGATAAATGTCAGCAAACTGGAGGCATAATTAGCATAATGACCTTTGTCTATATGTAGAAGGTATCACCAGAGGGTTTTCCTGTCCAAAAAAAATGGTGATCCAATAAACATGCACGAGGCCATTTGGCCTCAGCGTGTCCCAAAGCACAGCACAGGGATGGAAAAGAGTGTAGGAGCAAAAATAGCAGCTGTGAAAGTGTTCCTGCAGAATAAAAGCAGCAGTAATGACCTGTTTGTCTTCATCCTCAGTAGGTTTCAGGTGATACAGAAAGCACTGAGACAGTGAGTGGTTATTTGCAGAAGCTTTTTAGTTTCTTAAACCTTTTAAAATTACAAGAATTTGTATTAGGACTGCAGTGAGCAGCCACTCTAGCAGAAAAAGGATGGGTGAATTCGTGTATTCCTTTGTTGACAAAAGGCTAAATCAGGTGGACTAAGCAGAAGATTCTGTCATGCAGAAGGAGTTAGTGTGGCATTCCCTGAAGATCTTCTTGGTTTGAAGACTTGCATGCCAGGATCATTGCTGAGAGAATGATGAGTAAGTGGATTCTGTCTGGATAAAGGTGACAGGTCAGAGACAGTCTCACTGTGCCCTTTTTAGTTTACAAATTTGTGCAGTAGAAGTTTCAGGAAAGCTGTGAGAAAAATGTTGGAATTTTCAGGTGACTTCAGTGCCACTCTCTTCTTAAAATATAATTCAAAAAAAGGCAGAAACTTATCATAGGCATCACTACAAAGAAACCGTCCTTATTTGACATAATCACAGCCAGATTAATGTAACGATGTAAATTAACAGCAGAGTTACTTTGTGGTGACACGTTTATTTTAATTATTCCCAATCTTAATGGTTTTTTTTAGGTTGTGGAGAGCACCTTGTCCGAACCATACTGGCCAGAGAATGTTCATGTGCTTTGCAAACAGAAGATGCCCACCAAGCTCTCCTAGAGACTATGCAAAACAAGTTTATTGGTAAGTCTGTGGTCCTCATTGCCTAAAAGTTGCCCAATGTTGTTTAAAATGCAAGCAACGCTGTAAAACCAAATTAAGACACTTATTTTTATGAATTCTGTTTAAAGTCTTGTGTTGCAGTTGGCTTCGGATTTAGTGTTGTGTGACATCTGAAAAATGTTAAACTACAGAAGAATATTTTAGGAAATCTAAAGGAAAACCCTTGGAAGTATCTCAATTGTTATGTGAGTCATAGAATACCCGGAGAGGTTTGAAGAAAGAATTTCCTGCCTGAATCATGGGCTGTGGTGTACAATTGCATATTTTAGAATTGGTGGTTTTAGGAGCATTAGTAAAAATTATTCATCATGTTAACCCTTTTAAAAATAGCAGACCTCAAAGCCATCTCGTGTTCTAACTAAGTGCTTTAAACGGACGGATTCTGGTTTGCTATCTACACGATGAAATTAATTTCTTGCAAAAGTGAAGTGGACTCCATTCAAAACCCGATTTTTTCCTTGATTAGAGAGAGTTGCACAATCTGGGTTTAATTTCTTCTGAATATAGATCTTGTTTTCTTTCTTCAAGTCACAAGCCAAATACAAATTCGTCATTTTCACGTGTCATTTGTCACGTGTCATTTTCAAATATCCACACAAGCTTGAACTTTTGAAAGCGGCCTCGATTCCAACGAGGCTTCTGGCATATGTGTTGGCTTGCACTCTCTTTATAGCCCTTAAAATTTTGAAGCTTTAGACAATTTTCACCTTCAAAATTTCTCGTGGACAGCACAGTACCTCTTGTGCACCGTGTTGCCAGAGCTCATTTTTATGGTGTTTTAATTAGGGCTGAAAGAGGGACATGTGCACACCGTTTGGGGTCCCAGGGACTGATGCCCTTGGTGTTGGCAAGCAATGCATTGCAGTTTCTTAATTTCTGTTTAAAATGTTGAGTCCATGTTAAACTCTGCTTGTGACAGCATTCCATTTGACTGTTTGAAGGAAATCACCCTCACATTGGAAGGCTGCGCTTTAAGTTGCACTCACTTCGAGGTGCTGTGAGACTGCAGAACAGTTGCCTTAGTGGGTGTTCCCCAAAAAAGATCCTAATCCAAGCAGCAAAAATTTAACTTCTTATATTTAATCACTCATTCCAGTGGCACAAAATTGGGAATTTCTGTACCCAAGAGAAGCCTTTAGGAAGGAAGCTTGTGATGACTTTGCTAACTTTTGAAGGTATTCTATGGAACTGGCTTAATTTCAGGCAAGTCAGATCTTTAGTTCACACTCCCCAAATTTATTGTGCTGTTTGTGGTAAGGATACTTAAAAGCAAGCACAAACTGTACTGTATCTTTATAAGATTTTATATTAATACATAACCACAAAAAATAGAAAGCAACTGGTGAAGTATTCATAGAAACTGGCCGATAAAAGACCAAAAAAATGAAACTTTTTAGTTGAGATGCCTTCTTTAAGTTGGTTTTCTCTGTTCTTTTTGGTAACAGTGAGCAAAAATGCAGTTCTTCTTTTGCTGTTTAATGCAAACATGTTTTGCCACCAGTTTGCATAGCAGATGTTTTCATTTTAAATGTTAACTGGCTACCCTGTGATATATACATCGTATTCTTTACTGGAAATGTAAAAATATTTCTGTGGGAGATAAGAACATATTAAATGTTGCTGAAGTTTGTGTTGTACCTGAAGCTATCAGTTACAGAGAAAGAGGAACTGCACAGACAGATACCAGGCTAACACTGTGATGTCTTACTGCCTTGGGAGAACAGGCTTTTCCAAACAAAAGAAGGGAAAGTGAAAAGAGTGAGAGGCAGGATCAAATTAGTGCTCCTCATGATAAGAAAATCTGAAAAGACTGCTTTATAATTTCTTTTTCAAGTTTCATGTTTTAATCAGGGACAGACCTGGCTTGTATTTTCAGGAACTTACCACTGCAAGTTTTGGTTGCCTGACAGCAGGAGTGTGTGTATCTGCTCAGTTCTACTTTGGGGCAGTGCTGATGTGGGGAAAAGGAAAGACACAGCCAGCTTTGGTTTTTTGTGAAGGTGCAGTGCTGGGATGCTGTGTTTTGATTAGAAAGCATAAAATCTGCTTTGCCCTCAGCTGAAAACTGAAAAAGCCTCAGAATGAAAACTGATGGAGGAAAACTTCAAAATCCAGATCTATCTTACTGTTTGCATGTGAGATAGTACTGAGCTTGTAGCCAGTAGTGTAATTTTGGGGGATGCTGGCAGTTCTGAAGGTTCACAGGCAAACTCAAGAAGTGTGGGTTGGACGAGTGGACAGTGAGGTGGATGGAGAGCTGGCTGAGGGGCAGATCCCAGCAGGCTGTGCTCAGTGTCACAGAGTCCAGTTTGGGGCCTGTCAGTAGTGGTGTGCCCCAGGGTTCTATACTGGGCCCAGCATTGTTTAAATTGTTCTTTGATGACATGGATGAGGGGGTTGATGCCTCCTCAGCAAGTTCACTGATGACACCAGGCTGGGAGGAGGGGCTGATGCCCCAGAGGGCTGTGCTGCCCTTCAGAAGGACCTCGCAGCTTGCAGGGATGGGTGGAGAAGAACTGTGTGAAATGCAGCAAAGGCAAATGCAGGGTCCTGCACCTGGGGAGGAACAACCCCGGGCTGAGGGTGACCTGCTGGAAAGCAGCTCTGTAGAGGAGAATCTAGGGATCCTGGTGGACAAGAAGCTGTCCATGAGCCAGCAGTGTGTCCTGGGGGCCAAGAAGGCTCCTTGGGGAGCATTAGGAAGAACATTGCCAGGAGGTCGACAGAGGTGATCCTGCCCCTCTGCTCAGCCCTGGTGAGGCACATCTAAAATGCTGTGCCCAGTTCTGGGCTCTTCAGTACAAGAGAGACAGGGAGCTCCTGGAACAGGAGGGCAAGGAGGATGACTGGGGGACTGGAGCATCTCTCTTAGGAAGAAAGGCTGAGAGAGCTGGGGCTGTTCAGCCTTGAGAAGAGACAACTGAGAGGGGACCTCGTGAACGTGTATAAATATCTAACAGGGGGGGTGGCAAGAGAATGGAGCCAGGCTGTGCTCAGTGGTGCCACCCACTAGAACGTGAGGCAGTGGCAGAAACTGATGCCCAGGAAGTTCTACCTGAACATGAGGAAGAACTTGTCCACTGTGTGAGTGACCGCTGACGGGAACGGATTCCCCAGAGAGATTGTGGAATCTTCCCTCGCTGGGCGTATTCCAGAATCATCTGGAGGCAATCCTGTGCCATGTGCTCTAAGATAACCTTGCCTGAGCAGGGAGCTGGGACCAGATGACCCACCATGGTCCCTTCCAACCTGACCTGTTCTGGGATTCTGTGACTGCAAAGTTACGTCTGGCAAACAAAGTGAAAGGGTTGAAAACGTTCATTGTGCTTCAAACAATAGGCTTATACTAAAAGGGATTTTTTTTTTCCTGTGAATTTTCATAGACAAAGTGCTGGTTGATAGCTCAGGAGGTGTGGTGTGATGCAGGATTTCTTAATGTTGTGAAACAACAGGATCAAGTGGGCTAATAGACTCCTTGCTGGTGGTGTGGATTCTCCTCTTGCCTTCCTTAAAGCCCTGTTTTGTGGTCCTGTCAGACTTTCACCAGGATTATAATGGACCAAGGCTGAAAAAAACCCAGCCTGTAACAAAGCTGAGCTAGAATGTTTTGTCAGAAGTCAAAATGTGCCTTACTTGTATCGGAGGGCTGAACAGCTGATTTTGGCAGTTGCCACCAGATTGGTGCTTCCTGTTTACAGAACTCTCCGAGTCTCTGCAGAGCCCTGGGAATCCTTCCAGCTTGGGAATGCCTGGCTTAAACTGTGAGTGCTGCTTAAACAGCAGGTGATGAGCAAACTTGTGTCAGATGTGCTTCTCTCATCCTTTCTCAAAGCTGGGTAATAGAGAGAAATTAAATGTAGATTTTTTTGTAAAGCGAATGGGCTCCGTATCTTTTAAGTCAAAGAGCACGAAAGGCTTGGTTCTCAGTTGAAGAATGGTGTTCTGTAAACACAAATACCTTCCAAACAGAAGAACAGAGGGTTTGGTTACTGATCACTCCTTTCAAATGCAGCCAAGTTTGTGGAATGTAGACTTAGAGTAAATGTTTGTGTCATCTCACTGGCGGGAAATCTGGGCTTTTAACAATGGCAGAGTTACCAGTTGTACTTAGAAGCTTCTTATAAGGTGTTAGAAAATAACGAGCTGAAAGAAATAATTGGAACCTGATATTTGTTCTCTCCTTAGTGGAAATATGCTTCTCTATTCCTGTATTTTTAAGTTGGGCTTCAGTTGACAAACGAGCAAAGTCTGCAGAAAGGTAATAGCAGAAGGATAACGCTGACACTTTCTTTTTAGAAATTTAGTGTCAAATTCCTCTCTTCTGGGCAGGAACTTGGACAGTTAGGAATCACAGAATTTTCAGAGTTTCCTGATTATTAGTTATGCTTGTTGGGGAGGAAAAAGCCTCATACTTTAGCAGTTACAAAACTGCCAGTGACTGGCGTTGCACAGTGTTATTGTTAATTTATATTTTGGTGCTGCATCACTCTAAGCCTCATAGGTTTTGTGGTTTTGTAACAGAGGAAGCAAGTTTTGGAAGGGTTATTATGCTTCCCCATGACACAGAGGACAAGATTGAGAAGAGAATGAAGTGATCCTGAAGTTTCATATAACCTGTTTTATTTCTTAAGTTTGTATTTGATGGTAGACAGAATCTACTGTCTTCATTAACTGTACAGTCTTCATTAACTGTACAATAAAATCATCTGGAAACTTAACCTGGTGATATTATACAAGGGTTTGTCTTGGTCCTGCCTGTGCTTCTTCATGTCAGGAGCACTGGGGTTGTATTGGTCAGTGGTACCCTCTGTTATTTAATTTAGTTAATTATTCAACCCTGTAAAGTTTTAGAGTGCAGGTGCTTTCCCTTGCAGCTTCTTTAAAAACTCTAAATAGATGTTTTAGCTTACTGTGAAATAAAAAGACCTCTGCTTTCACACAGCTTGTGCTTAAACATTTAG